TGACGAAGTCAGAGAACAGAATCACTGAATCAACACATTCAGAAGATATCTCCGACAATACCCTTCCCCTGAGGGAGTGAAACTCTTGAGAGCTGCTGTTCAACATGCTCGTCAAATTACTCAGAAAATTAGGGAAGACAAATGGCTCGAGTGGTGCGCAACCTTTAATGCACACACCAGCCTGAGTGAACTCTGGAGAAAACTCAGGATAGCAACAGGAAAATTGCCCAGATCTCCAGCCCACCCCCAGCTTGGCAGAACACTTTGTAGAACGCTCGTCATCAGCTCAACTACCTCTTGAAATAAGACTTCATCTACAGCAAGTACAACTGGAGAGAGAATTAGTAGTCAGACATGCTCAGCAATGCAGGACTTGCTGGTGAACTTGCTCTCATAACAGTTATAAACGCATTATGGTCAGCAGGCAAACTCTCGTCAGCTTGGAAAGGAGCAAACATTGTTCCTATTCCCAAACCCAATGATCCCCCGAATTTCAGACTAATATCACTAACAGCATGCATCGGCAAAACCGCCGAAAGGATGGTCCTTACACGACTCCTCTGGAAAATTGGACCACTTCACCACAATATCTTTGGATTCACCAAAGGTCACAGCACTGCACACAGTTTGGCCACTCTCCTGGGATCGATTGGTCAAAATAAGGCAATCGTAGTATTCCTTGATCTAGAGAAGGCATTTGAGCTGGCAAATGCACAGGCCATTGTAACCACTCTGGCCCGGAAAGGCGTCAAAGGATACCTACTGGCTTGGATTGCTGACTATCTCCAAAACAGAACAGCAAGAGTTACTTGGCAAGGACAAGTCTCAGGTCAGCAAAGACTGGAAAATGGCACACCACAAGAAGGAGTTCTTAGTACAACTCTCTTCAACATCCTCATGGAAAACTTGTGTCGGCTCCCCTTTCAAGAGGGTACCAAACTGCTGTGCTATGCTGACGACTTACCACTGATAGTAAAAGGCAGAAACCAAATCAGCAAAGTCCAAAGAGCACTAGACCTCATCAGTGAAGAATGTATGAGGCTCGGGCTCAAGATATCAATCCCCAAATCGAAAGTCATGAGGTTTGGACACAATGAGTCGGTGACACAACTTCAAATACAAGGTATTGCCCTACAATGGGTCAATGTATACAAATACCTGGGCATCTGGATTGACAAACGCCTCAAATTTTACACTGAGATAAACTATCTAAGAGACCGAATAGGCAAGAGAGTCAACATGATGAGAGCCATGACAGGACCCAAGGTGGGTGCGGGACATGTAGTCCTAAGAACGCTATATATACACGCCATTCGATCATTAACAGACTATGCGACACTGGCTCTTAACACACTGTCTGAGGGGCAGTGGGCGAAATTAGAAGTTGTCCAGAATAACGCTATGAGAGCCATTGTCAAGGCACCTATGTGGACAAAAATCGAAAACTTACACATGGAGACAGGTCTCACATCTCTCCAAACCAGAGCTGAACGATTAACAGCGTGCTTTGCAACAAAACTGATTACCAGGGCTCGGAAGGGTGACATCAAGAATGGACTCTTACGAGCACTGAACCTTAAAAGATGTCTTTAACAAGAAAACATGGCTATTGTGAGCAGCTGACGCAGACAATCGACTGAAATTGAAAGACACAATCCTCAGCAAAGGACCTGATACAATGAGTCCAGACTATAGCACCCCAGCACCGTGGGAGTCCCCGCCAGCAGTCTTCAACATTCTACAAACTGGGACAAGAAAGGCTGACTGTAACCCACATGAGCTCCGACAGATAGCAGAGAGAAACATGAAGGCTCTAACACCTCACAATAGTACAGTGTATTACACAGACGGTTCTGTAGAGACCACCAGTACGAAGGCAGGAGCAGCCTTCACTATAGAAGGAGGTAACACGTCCCTTTGGAGAACTTCAGATGGATTCTGTACTTTGCAAGTTGAGCTAGCTGCCATACTTGGAGCCCTAAGACACGCCTCCATAAACAGTCAACAAGGCATTGTAATACACACTGACTCACGATGTGCTATTGAAGCACTACAATGCAGAGAGCATAGAGACAACATTCATCTCATAACATCCGTTATTGGACTACTGCAAGGATTAAAACTACAAGATCGGCAAGTTATCATTAACTGGGTGCCCAGTCATATCGGAATCCCAGGGAATGAACGAGCTGATGCTGCTGCCAAGACTGCGTTAGAACAGCGAAACATTGAGATGAACATCCCGCCCAGTCAGCAGCAGATAAAGAAGACCACAATAACACGAACTGCCCAGTGGAAAATAGAGAAACATAGAAGATTAACACCAGTATCACGATCGGCCAGGTGGTACTATCTGGTCACGAATTATGAGAGACCACCATTCATGAAGGATATAACAAGAAGGGAAGAAGTCAACTTCCACCGACTGAGACTGGGATACCCATGCATTTGAGAAATACTTGTATCGGAACAAGCAGAGCAGCGCATGTGCAAGACCTGCGACAGCGGAGCGGAAAACACACTGCAGCACTACCTCACAGAGTGCCCTGGAACACAATTAGCTAGGAGAAACATACAACCACCTATCACAGCAGAGAAGGTTGCCAGAAAGCTAACCACCAACTACTCTCAAGAAACCCTACAGTTTCTTACCGAGCATCCCCCCCCCACACTAGTGGTGGAGATGTGCATTTAACCAAAACGCCGCTGGTGTTTTATCCCAGCAGTGGGTGGACCAGCATTTTAGCTTAAGGTCCGCTGAGGTAATATTCCTACAAATCAATTAAAAAAAAAATAAAATAAATAAAATAAAATAATAATGACGGAGTTCAGTCCAGTCCTCTCGTCATTCAGTTCACGTTCTTTTGAGTGACACCTGTCACCTGTTACTTATACTTATTTTATTATTGTGTTGTTCCTGTCGCCACCAATGTAGTATATCTATGTGAGTACCTATTTATATCTCTTATGTGTCCATCAGTGTTTGCTTAGTTACATTTAAGTAATTCAGTGTTATTTCACGTTAGTTAATTTTAGTGTTAGTTATTTTATATGTTTATGCAGTGTTAACGTAATCCAATGCTTTATTTTCTTTTTTGATGTTTCGGTGTTTTAGTATCATTTGTGTCTTAAAAGTTTCGATAGTGAATCAATTTGTTCTGACAGCCTACGAGGCTCTTTATTGTGTTAATATTTAATTTAATTAAGTTCTTAAAGGTTTACTGAATTTATTTTTATTCCCTATTAATTTACTTCACTTCCTTTTTGTTTGGTTACGCCTAGAACCTGGATATTAAAGAAAATTAAGAGACGGCGTAACAACGTAAACGCTTGTTTTCTGCTCAAAAAAGTGTATTTTAGTTCACTGACGTCTTTTCACGGAAAACGCTTGTTTTCTGCTCAAACACACTGCTTTTAGTTCGTTTTACTTCTTTTACTGGAAACATCAGTTTCTGCTCAAAAACAGTGTATTTTAGTAAGTTTTACTTCTGTCACGTAAAATGTTTTTTTCTCCTAAAAATGTTATTTTTAGTTAGTTTTACTCCTAATGAAAACACTTAATTCTGATTGAAAACAGTGGAATTTGTTAGTTATAGTTCTTTTCGCGGAATACGCTTGTTTTCTGCAGAAAGCAGTATATTATAGTTCATTCTATTTTTTTCACGAAAAACGCTTGTTTTTTGCTCCAAAAAGTGTATTTTAGTTCACTGATGTCTTTTCACGGAAAAAGTTTGTTTTTCGCTCAAACACACTGATTTTTGTTAGTTTTACTTTTTGTACTGGAAACACTCAGTTTTTACTCAAAAACGGTGTATTTTAGTAAGTTTTACATCTCACGGAAAACGATCTTTTTTTCCTGAAAATGCTGTTTCAGTTAGTTTTACTTCTTCTAGTGAAAACACTCAATTTTGAATGAAAACAGTGGAATTCGTTAGTTTTACTTATTTTCACAGAATACGCTTGTTTTCTGCACAAAACAGTGTATTTTAGTTCACTAACGTCTTTTCACGGAAAAAAGCTTGTTTTCTGCTCAAAAAAGTGTATTTTAGTTCACTACGTCTTTTCACGGAAAACGCTCTTTTTCTACTAAAATGCTCTTTTTAGTTAGTTTTACTTGTAGTGAAAGCACTCAATTTTGAATGAAAACAGTGGAATTCGTTAGTTTTACTTATTTTCACAGAATACGTAGTTTACAAGAATAATAATATCCATACTGAGGTGTTCGCTGTTGTCCATCTTCACCAGTGTTTCTCAAACTGGGGGCCACGGCAAGATCTTAGGGGGGGCATGGCGGGCGAGTGTAAGTAGTATACAGTATGTTTGGAGAAAATGTGGAAACTCTGATACAACTTTTTTTTTTTGTCCCTTTGCCTTGTTAGGGGAGAAATCGTTTTTTTTAATTTGTCTGTTTTTTTGTCATTGTGTGTAATCATCATACCCGTACGGTACAGTTTTAATATTTACACAGTATGGTGCAGCAGCTAGTTTTCATTTCCAACAGATTCGCTCAGATTGCACGATTCTAGTTCCTGTCAGCAGGGTGACGGGTGCTGGAGTGATTCACTGATCTCACATGTTCTGAAGTACATGTCCGTGTGTCATCGCTTTACAAGTGGTGATCATGTTCTCAGTCTGGCTCAAGATATCATTAGGAAAATATGTGAGTGAACTGTGAGTGGACTGTATGTGTGGACTTCATGCATGTTTGTGTATTTGTCATTCGGATTATTTCTCTTTTTTTATTATTATTATAACTTTTTAGTCTTTATCATTCGTCTGTTTCTGTGACATTCTGTTTTTTTAAGAATTAGTCAACATTTAGAGAGAGAGAGAGAGAGAGAGAGAGAGAGAGAGAGAGAGAGAGAGAGAGATTACAAATGTTTAGTAAAACCAAGAGATTCATGATTCTTATATTTCTGTTTTTTATTTTTATAATTTTTAGCCCTTATCATTCGTCTGTTTCTGTCTGTTTTTTTTTTTATAATTTCCTTAGAATTGCGATGGCTGCCAGTGTTGTTAAGAAGCGGAAGTACAATGATAAATACATTAACTGCGGATTTACATCAATCCTCGCTGATGGCATCGAGAAACCTCGGTGTGTGTTGTGTTTCAAAGTGTTGGGGAACGATTCCATGAGGCCTAGTAAGCTGAAGTATCATCTGACGACAATCCACCCCCAGTATGCGGAGAGAGACCCCGATTTCTTCAAGCGCCATGAACGGAGTTTGGGAAAACAGAGACCGGATGAGAGTGTTGCCTTCCAACAACAGAACCTAAGTGTAGTTGAGGCATCATATGAGGTTTCCATTGAAATGACTAAGAAGAAGAAGGCCCACACGATTGGTGAAACTTTAATTAAGCCGTGTGCTTCAAAGATGGTAAAGCGGGTTCTTGGAGAGGCAAGTGAATGTAAGATTTAGCAGATTTCCTTGTCAGACGACGCGGTGAAACGGAGAATTAGTGAAATGTCAGATGATATCAGGGAACAAATGATACAGGAGATTAAATCGTCTCCAACTGGTATGTTTGCAATACAATTGAATGAGTCAACGGATGTGAGTTCTTATACACAGCAACTCGTGTTTGTTAGGTATGTATTTTTGCGTGATATCAAGGATGAAAAGCTGTTATGTACACAGCTTGAAACTACCACAACAGCTTTAGATGTGGTGGAAAAGTTGACTTCTTTCTTCACAACTAACGGGATCATCTGGAAAATAAATTGTGGAGGCTGTACTGATGGGGCTCCGGCGATGCTGGGCTCGAAATCGGGGTTACAGAAGCACGTCGCGGAAGTGGCTCTGAATGCCAAAGGGGTTCATTGTATGATCCATTGCTTTGCACTGGCGTCAAAACCCTCCCTGATGCCCTTTGCAAGATCCTGGAGGCAGTGGTAAAATGCGTCAACTTTGTGAAAGCAGGAGATTTGAACTCTCGCCTTTTCCAGAACCAGGGATAGAGGCATGGATTCAGAGCATGTAACCCTCCTCTTTTACTTCAAAGTGCGATGGCTTTCCACGGGTAATGTTGTGAATAGAGTGTTCGAACTTCGGGGAGAACTAAGTTGTTCCTGGAAATGAAAGGGAAGGATGATCTACTGAGTCACTTCAACGAGGTGTTGTGGGAGCCACGTCTTGCGTACTTGGCAGACATATTTGAGCAGCTAAACATGCTATTCAGCCTGTTTAGCTGCTCAAGCTACAAGGCAAGGAAATAAATGTTTCACCACATGGATTGTATTCGTGCATTTCTTAAACTCCAGAACTGGCAAAGAAAAGTCAGAGCAGGAAATGTTGCCATGTTTGAGAATATCATAAATGTTCTTGACGAGATTGAAGAGGATCATATACTTGACCCATCACTCAAAAATGAAATAATTCAGCACTTGAAATCCTTGGAAACTGAGCTCAAAAGGTACTTCCCAGAATTCGAGGAGGAAGAGGGGAAATTGGTAAGGAATCCTTTCTCTGGCGCTCTTTATATTTCTGCCATTCCCGAAGATGATCAAGGCGAATTCCTTGATCTCAGGAACGAATCTGCTGCCAGAGACCTCTATGAAGAATATTTCTGACTGTATTCTGGTGCTCAATGTATCAGGCATAACCAAAAGTTAGTGAGATAGCACTTCGAGTCCTTTTGCCATTTTCCACTACTTATTTATGTCCTTTATCAGTGACTCAACATCGAATCAGTCGACTGACTGAAAGAAAACAATGTCATCCATCCTTTTGAACTGTAACAATACATGGATTCTGTTTGATGATTGTAGACATTAAAATAAAGGAAGAGAACCAAAACAGTCTATTTTCATCATTATTTGTGAGGGGCTTGGGAAAGAACTGAAGGGGGGCACGAGGATGATGAGTGTTCCTTATGGGGGGAATGGAGTGAAAAAGTTAGAGAAACACTGGTATAGTACAACCAAACAGTACAGTACAACCAACTCAGTACAGTACAACCACACAGTACATTACAACCAACTCAGTACAGTACAACCACACAGTACAGTACAACCAACTCAGTACAGTACAACCACACAGTACAGTACAACCACACAGTACAGTACAACCACACAGTACAGTACAACCAAACAGTACAGTAAAACCAACTCAGTACAGTACAACCACACAGTACAGTACAACCAACTCAGTACAGTACAACCACACAGTATAGTACAACCAACTCAGTACAGTACAACCACACAGTACAGTACAACCAACTTAGTACAGTACAACCACAGAGTGCAGTACAACACACAGTACAGTACAGTACAACCACACAGTACAATACAACCACTCAGTACAGTACACCACACAGTACAGTACAACCACACAGTACAGTACAACCACACAGTACAGTACAAAACTCAGTACAGTACAACCACAATACAGTACAACCACACAGTACAGTACAACACACAGTACAACCACACAGTACAGTACAACCAACAAGTACAGTACAACCAACTCAGTACAGTACAACCAACACAGTACAGTACAACCACAGTACAGTACAACCACACAGTGCAGTACAAGTACAACCACACAGTATAGTACAACCAACTCGGTACAGTACAACCAACTCAGTACAGTACAACCACACACAGTACAGTACAACCAACTCAGTACAATTACAACCACACAGTATAAGTACAACCAACTCGGTACAGTACAACCAACACAGTACAATGCAACCAACTCAGTACAGTACAGCCAACAGTACAGTACAGTACAGTACAACCAACACAGTACAGTACAACCAACACAGTACAGTACAACCAACACAGTACAGTACAGCCAACACAGTACAGCAACAACCAACACAGTACAGTGCACCCAACTCAGTACAGTACAACCAACACAGTACAGTACAACCAACTCAGTTGAGTACAACCAACACAGTACAGTACAACCAACACAGTACAGTACAACCAACTCAGTACAGTACAACCAACACAGTACAGTACAACCAACACAGTACAGTACAAGCAACACAGTACAGTACAACCAACACAGTACAGTACATCCAACACAGTACAGTACAACCAACACAGTACAGTACAACCAACACAGTACAGTACAACCAACACAGTACAGTACAACCAACTCAGTACAGTACAACCAACTTGTAGGTTATGTATATAAGCTACTGTGCCGAGTAGCAACCCTGTATATAAGCTACTGTGCCGAGTAGCATTTATATATATTATCACGTGGCAACACTGCGTGCGTTATGTGGCACCATTGCCCCGAGGCTGCCATATGGCAAGGCAACCTCAGTCTGACTGTGTGAGCCGTGCATGGCACACGCGAGTCACCACTTGTATTTCTCTCATCCATAATAAACGGACTTCAGTGTTACACGGTTGTTTCCCTACCTATCACTGCATTCCTCAGGGAACACTTGTAACCACCATGGCGCAGTGGCTAGGATCTGTGGACTTACAAAGTGTGTGAACGGTGCCGAGACAGTTACGTCTGCCGGTGATGGGCGTCGACTCATAGTGTTTTGTGTTGCGCTGTGTTTCGCCGCGATGTGCAGTGTTGGGCCGTCACAGTGCGTTTTAGTGACGGTGGCAGTGTTAGTGTCAGTGTATTAGTGTGTCTAGAGCTGAGAGTTGAGCATTGGCATGATTTTTTGTGGTATCCACGGAGCACGCAGCGGTACACCCTTCTCGTGTGACATCCCGGGTGATACTGACGGTCTCACTCCCGCCGCGTCTCCAGCCACCGGCATTAAGGCCACCACGAAGCAATCTCTCAGACACACACACACGCACGCACGCTCGCACTCACTCACGGACAGAACAGTGGACTATATGCGTTATTCCTGCGCTGTTTATGTCATATATATGTGGTTCGAGCTGTTGAGGCGCCACTTTATATACTAAACAGTGCAGTCCATGCACACACTAAGATGGGAGGTAAGAAGGGACAACGTCAAGATGGGAGACACGACTCCTCACCACCTTCTCCTCCACCGGGCGCAGACTCTCATCCTCCACCTCCAGTGACGGACATTGCCACAATTCTGAGGTGGATGGACGACCGGGACGAGAGACGCAGAGAGATGGAACTTCAGAGGGAGGAGACACGAAGAGAGGAGGAAAAGTTGCGTTTTGAGGCACTATTGGCGACCCTGGCGCTAACCCACCCACCCTCACTCGCAGGTAGCGCGCTTCAAGGCGCCAGTACACTCCCTCCTCCACCCCACCAGCGTCCTCCAGGTACTCTTGCCTCCAAACAAACAGCTCCCAAGGCATCTGTTCAACCCCCACCCGCCCTCTCACCAGACGTCACGTTTCAGCTTTTTCGTGAGTGGAGGCGGCGTTGGACAGATTACTCCACGATGGTGGACCTTGACAGCATGCCTCCAAACAAACAGCTCATCCAACTGCGGATGTGTTTGTCGCTGGAGACCCAGAGAGTTTTGGAGCACACGTTGCAAGTGCCTCCCGATTCTACCTCTTCAGTGACGAATGTGCTCGACCTTTTACAGGAGCATGTTAAGGGTCGGAACAACGAGGCTTTGCGTCGCCGTGCCTTCACCAGCTGCAAGCAAGCAGAACGAATCCTTTGACGACTTTTTTGTACGCTTGAAGAGTTTGTCAGAGGAGATCGACGTCTGCAAGGCGCACAGCCGGGAATGTGAGGAAGCCTGGATCAAGCATGGGATCTTGACAGGTGTCAGGCACGAAGAGTTGATGCAGCGACTCATCCCCCTGGACGCTTCCTCCACACTCCAGGTGGTAGTGACTGAATGTCGGTCATACGAGGCCACCAAGTCCGCCACCTCTGCCTTACGGGCCCCACCTGTTGTGAGAGCTATCTCACAATACAAGAAGGATAAGAAGGCGGCCAACAACGCGAAGGCTGCCACACGTTCTTCCACGCCTCTGCCTAGTGCTTCCTGTGGCAGCTGTGGAAAGCAGCACAGCCCCAAGACATGCCCAGCCGCCGACTCACTGTGTCGTGGATGTGACCGTAAGGGCCACTGGTCTAACACAGACAGGTGCCCTGCACGAGGCCGCAAGTGTCAGGCCTGCGGTCGCTATGGACACTACGACAAGTGCTGCCGCCAACCGAAGCCCAAAAGCCCGAGACGAGGAGGAAAGCAGCGCACTTCCCTCCGGGTGGTTCGCACGCAGCCAGATGGCCAACGCAGCCCCAAGCAGCAGCGGAGTCACATCAGGAGGATGGACTCGACCACACGCCCCAGGGCTACCCCTTCCCCTACCATCCGCGTCGCCGTCACACACGGTGATGTGTCGGGTCACATCGAGGTGATACCGGACACCGGCGCCGATACCACGGTGATTGGGTTGAAGCACCTCCAGAAACTGGGCCTCACCAAACGTGACCTGGGACCACCGCCGCAGCTGCTGCACTACAATGCGGACGGTTCCCAGATGCCGGACGCT